ATTTTTAATATTATCTAACATTTGTTTAACTCAGAACTCTAAAAAATGTCCTTATTTAGCTTTATTTTGAAGTCTTCCAGGCAAACAATAAAACAAGCATTATTCCTTTCATAGACTGAATGTATAGATACAGCGAGGTTTAAAGGTGCATCCTCTGCACTCAGGTTCATTAAATAACCAAGAATGTGACAGTTTCTGTTCTATTGGTTTTACTATAATTGAAGACATTATTCACTGTCACATGTAGGAATTTTCTGTTAGAATTCAGGGTTAGGGAAAATTCATCACCTAAGAAGCTGGAAGGCATCTTCCCTCATGAAATGAAGGCTGAATCACTGGTGGTGTTTTCACTTTCTGCCTGGACCGCCAGGTGAGCAGAGCCAAGCCAGATTAGCCACTAAAACTGATATTTTTCTAGCTGGCCTGTGCTCCTTCTTTGCTTTGGCTGTAACCTACTAGGAAGGAAGCAAGGTGGAGCAGTAAACGCAGGTCACCAGTGAGAGTCACCAGATGCAGTGAGATGGACTTTGGCAGAGCTGGACTGGTTAGTGTCCCAGAGTTTGCTTGGAGCAGCTTCCTCTGGGCCACGGAGCCGAGTGGTGAGCTTCTCCTGGTTGGAGGGCAGGTCTGTTTCTGAAAGCATAAATAAAACCCCCATGTAATTTGTTTTGCGATGAAGCACGACTGGCCTTTTGTTCACCTTTTATACGAGGTAAAAGAAAAAGAAAGCTGCAAGGAAACCTTTTCTTTTTTAGAAATCTCCGTGAACCACAATAGCAGTCAGGGGACGGCAGGTGCCATCGACTCGCGCGCCCTCTGCTGACCAGAGCCGTGAACTCTGCAGTAGTACATAGAAAACGGGATGGGGTGGGGCAGAAATTTTAAAGACCATCAATAAGAAAAAATATCTAATACTATCACGCATAATTTTGCATACCACCAAAAGAAAACTATACCTTTATTGTGTATTCATAAGAAAAATAATGTACCCAGTTGTTCAGCAAAGACTGTCAAGTGCTGGCTGGTTACCTGTCAGGCCCAGGAGTCACTTAGGTGAAGTTAACATTACGATATCAAGGATCCTGGTTTTGCATGGAGGCAGACCCTTCAGCAGGCAATGTCCATACCATGGGTCAAGTGCAGTGCGAGACCAGAGTAACAACTCCTAATCACCTTCAAGAGGGAACAGTTACAAAACTTGGGAGGCTGAGGAAGAAGGATTGTTGCAAGTTTGAGGCCAACCTGAGCTATGTAGTGAGTTCAAGGCCAACCTGAACTACACAGAGACTTTGTCTCAAAAACAAAAACAAATACCAAAAAAATCCATTTGCATTTTAGGCCTCTCTTTTGCATGGGCTTTTATCCAGGAACTGAAGTGACCCTTTTATGGTGTGCAAGATTATGGTGTGGCAGGGGTGGTTGTGGGGTTATACATAGTTTGTGGGGAAATGCCTGCTCTGCATGCATGAGACCCTGGCTCTGACCCTAGCTCCTTGAAAAGGCAAGAAAATGTTACTGATTTTTTAAAAAATATACAAAGATCAAAACACCTTTTACCTGCATCTGGTTTTTCTTTCTCTTCCAACTCTAGCTTTTCCTCAGCTCATGATTCCTCACATGTCAGATGGTTTGGTTGGCTGCAGGCATTTTGGGGATCCTACTGAGGGAAATGAACTAGGAATATGTTCAGCATTGATTTAATGATATATATTTATGTGATCTGTACCTTCTTCCCTCAAATTACTGCTGGCTCAGTGAGTGGAGAGAGTTTCGGGGAATACCAGCTCATACACCCCACTGAGGTCTAAGTCAGATGCACTGCAATATAAACTTATTCTTTGCCACCCAGTACTAGAAATTTGAAGCAGGTAGAGGAAAACTAAGATTAGGAATGTATAGGGCCAGAAATAATTTGTAAGAAAGTCTCCAAATCATCAGCCATAAAGAAAATTAAATTTTTGTTCTAACCAATGACTGACCTAAATGCAAGTTCTCTTCTGGCAAGAGCTGTGGTACATTAAAATAGCGATAGCTCTCAGTCACTGCTTTCTTTAGGGTTGTGTTTGCTTCTTTCCCTTTGAAACTGGGCTCGTTCAGTGATTTGTTTGAACAGTGTGGTGGAAGTGATGCTGGGTAGTGTCCAAATCTGCCTTAGATACAATGCTTTCACCTTTTGCACACTCGGAAGGCCCTGTCACGATACCCAGATGACATGCTCTTAAAATTCCAATTCAGGAAGCCAGGGGTATAGTTCAGCGGTGCAGTGCCTGCCTTGCAAATGCAAAGTCCTGAGGTTGATTCCCAGTAGCCACACACACACACACACACACACACACACTACAAGTCAGGAGGAAAAGCCACGTGCAGAGAACACAGGTGCTCAGCCCATAGCCAGCAAAACTGGCCTGCCGAGTCCTCCTGGATGTTCTAAGTGGTGCAACTCTGAGACTGGCAGCTCCACTGAATACCATAGTTAGCAGACTGCCCACCAAGCTAAGCCGTGTGCCCAGAATCCTGAGATATCAAATGACTATTTTCTATGAATTTCAGAGTATTTCATTACTCAGCAACAGAGAACCCAAACAATACCAAGGACGTATACTTTTAAAGTATCTCTTGGTGTGAGGAAATTAGACTGTCTGAAGTAGAATCTTATAATGTTTTATATCAACCAGAACAGATAAAAAAATAGAGGTAAAGGGCAAAAAGGGGTTTCTTCCAGACAGTACAGACTTGACAGTATTTATAATGATGAGGAACCAGTGAGTAGAGGTGACCTTCAAAGGTATAGGGGTGAGGGGAAACACTGCAGCAAACTCTTGGGTGCACCAATGATTTTGTTTAGAACACAAATTGAGGCCCTGGCTTTGTCCAGGAGGCCTGTCTATGGGCGTGGTGGAAATGAAGTTCGTGGGAAAGGTGCTGCTTAGCTTAGCAAGCCATTATCTTAAGGTAGCATGCTTACTTAAAACAACTTTGACCTGTAACCAAGGTTACTTATCTGTGTGCAACTATTTATGACAGGGTCTTGCTAAATAGTCCAGGCTGGCCTTCCACTCATGAGCTTCCTTCTTCAGCCTCCTAAGTGCTAGGATTACAAGTCCGTGCTACCATGCCCAGGCCTTTATTTCTTGACTTTGTGAATTCAACTGGAATAAAGACCATAGCATTTGTTTCTCTACTAAAATAACAATAATGAAAACAAAGAATTGAAGGCCATGTCTTAAAAGCTACAGAATTTGTTTCATTAAAAAATTCTCAAATATTTATAGCTGACTTCTGTGAAATACTTGTATTGGGTCATCTTTTTGAGGGCAGTCTGCAACAGTTTATTCACCACAGCAAAAAATGTTAATATCTATCAAGAAAAATGAAGAACAGGTGCATTTTGGGAGGAAAAATAATCTTCATTCAAAAGCTATTTTTGACTTTAAAATTTGGCAGTTAAAAACAGGGCATAAATTATTTAAAATCTAATTTTGCTTGGAAATATTTAGTAGCTGTAACTATATTTGACATGAACTTAAATTACTTCTAGAAGACACACATGAAAAATCACACCATGATTCTTAAAAGTTGAATTTTTCTCGGTGGGACTGGTTATTCGAAAGCACTGTTTTTCACAAGTCTATTATGGGCTGCAGTCTAAGTGCTGAGGGAGTAGGGATGGCAAGACAGGGTCCCTGTAGCAAAGAGCTTACGTTTAAATGTAGAGAAAAAGAATCCAAGCATCATTAAATGAGTAAGATTTCAGACAGAGTGTGAGAGGGCAGACAGTTGAGAGCAAATGCAGGCTGGCGAGGGCCGGGGCTGCGGGGAGGTGGAGCGGGGAGCTGTGGTCAGGCAGGGGAGTTTGGCTGAGCAGGTGGACGTCTCAGAGGAGGGGCCTGAACCTGAACTGTGAGCAATGCGCAGTCTGGGGGAAGATCTTCTCACACAGAAAACGCGTGCAAATGATGCCAACCCTCACATTCTCTGATGACACAGGATAGCACGCTGGGTGATGCAGCTCGGTGATCCCTGTGTGCCTAAATAAAAATCCTATGGTACACTGCCGGTTGGTCTTTTGCGTTTGGGAAAGCTGGCACTGGAACTGCTATCAGTGATGACCACTTCTGGGTCTTCTGTCTTCCGGGTTCTAGACAGCTGGAGAACGCCAGTGGGCAGAAGATTTGGGCGGGGATGCGGGGTACAGAGGGAAAGACAGGGCAGCGTCTCCAACAGGAGCTGGACACTGTGATGAGGGGAAATGAAGAAGCACATTCCCAGATGGAGTCCTTTTACTTTTAAACAAAGATGTTTAAATTGGGATCTATTAGGAAACATGAGGTTACAGGAAAACAGGGATAAAAAGAGAAAGACAATCACAAGAAAAAGAATAGTAAGAGTTTACACTTAAATAGCCCAAATGAGACTTACAGAAACTACTTATGGATCCTTCTTGCAAAATATAGCTACACACCAGAGGTTTTGTTGAAGATCAAATTGAGTACACTGGAATGGGAACATTTAATTTATGTACTGGTATTTGACCATCCAGCACCAAAATAAATGATTTAGTGAAAAGATCTTATTTTGTAAGTTCCTATGATATAAACTAAACATAATAAACTCAAGTGATGATGCCAAAGTCAACTTGAGACTTGCCTTCAGTGACAATGCTACTTGCTGGCTGAAATGCTTCAAGCCCCACCTCACTAGCATTACAATCCTCTTTCCCAACAAGTGCACTCAAGGTCTCCAAACTTTCCTGTGGCTTTTAGGAATATTCTAGGTGGTCCAAGAAAGGCTTCCCTCGTGCAGAGCAATATGCAACAGATGCAGACGTGAAATGAATGCTATTCAAGGAGCCACTAAGCCTCCTCTGGGTGATGAAAAGCCAGCTGAAGAATGAAGGGGGCAGAAGATCTGGCAGGATGTGGGGAACAGAGAGAAAAAGAAAGAAAGCCGCGTCTCCACAGGAATCAGAAAATGCAGGGAGGGGGAATGAAGGACGCACATTTCCAGGTGGAGCCATTTTATTTCCAAACAAGATTCCAAACAAGAGATGCCTTGCCATCTCCACACTGAATTTTCATTTTACAAAATATATTTGCTCCTAAAATCCTTCATAAAATCTGTCTTCCCCTTTGCAGTGGGAAATAGGCAAAAAGTCAAAGGTTAAAATATCATGCAGAAAACATTATATCCACCAAGATAGTTGTACAATAATCTTAAGTTCTTCACAGGGCAATGATAAAACAGTACGATTAATTTATACTTCACTACATTTTACAGCACTTCAGGTTGTTTCTTCACATGTTAATGTTCCTGTTTCACAAACAATATTATAAAAAGGTTATCAACTTTTTCATAAAATAGAAAAACAAAGCAAAGCTACACACTAGAAAAGAGCTACAGAGCACAAACATTTTCATAGTAATAAAAAGAACAATGAACTCAAGTACTTCCTCAGAAACAGTGGCTGACCCTAACCCTTCACTCTTTTCATCAGAGGGCTATTCCAAAATCTGAAATCACTTGTTCATGTAACCACGACAGAATGTGTCTGTAATTCTGAGAGAAAGGTCATTTGCGAAGGAACTCTTGGATTATATGTTCTGTTTCTCAGAGGCAGTAAAAACTCAAACCAAGATTCTTTCAACGGTGTCAAAAGCCCAGGAATGGGGCTGTTGGCGTAGCTCAGTCACAGGGCACTTGCTGGGCATGCCGAGGCCCTGGGTTCCATCCCGGGGACACCCGCACCACCACCACCAAGGTGTCATAGGAGGATGGTAGCTATCATAGAATGAGAACCAAAATTTTGATTTCTTAGGAAAATAAATCTTCACTGATACGTGTGTCTATGTACGTGAAATTACAACTTAACAACAACAACAAATCACCAATACAATTTGTCCAGTCTGAAAAAAATGGTTGGAATTTATGACTAGAAGACAAATCAAAGATCAGTAACTCAGCTCTCTGATTTTAGAGGAAAGGGAGAAGAAACCCAGAGATGGTATGAATGCCTCACCTCGGTACATCAGCAAGGTGGCCTGCATGATTATTCTTATACACACACCACTGCACACAAATACGGTCGTGGTTGCATTTACTTGTGTTATGCACGCAAAATCCCACTATCTCTTACAATAGATACAAAATAGGCATGTAAATTTTTATTTGTTACCTCACGGCTAGATGTGGAAATGCCCATCCTCTAAAGGAGCGGAGCGCTCGGCCTTCCCTCCACGTGCAGCTGTACCGCTCTTCTCTGCCTGCTCTAAAAGTAGCACAGATTGGGGGGCAGTGGGCGGGGCAGGAAAGAGTACGGCTGTATGCACCCCAACTCAGAACTCAAGCTTCCCCTTACCCCAAAAACGCTCCCACTGGCAGTGCAGATTTACGTGATGGTAAGCTTGGGCTGCTGGAACTTGTAGACCTGGCTGGAAGGACAGAATGAGGCGTGGAGACAGTAGCCGGCAATGTTTTCCTGCCCCTCACCCAGAAGAATTTAATAAGTGCTCCTCTGACCATAAAAAACAGAGAGGAGCAGTGTGTTCTGACTAACATATTAAACTACAGGTTGGGTGTCTCTTCCGTGAAATGCCCAGGACCAGAAGCATTTTGTTTTTCTGTAATTTGCAGTATTTGTACATGCATGACATAACTTAGTGACAGGACCCAAATCGAAATAAGAAATTAATGTTTCACATATACTCATATGTGAAGCTTACATATACTTAGAGGCTGAAAGTAAGCTTATACAATATTTTTAATAATGTGCATGAAATAACTTTTCATTATAGTGTAGACTTGATGGCTCATGCCTGTAATCCCAGCCACTTGGGAGGCTGAGGCAGGATTGTGAGGCCAGTCTATGCAATTTAATGAGAATCTGCCTCAAAATAAAAATAAATAAATAAATACAAAGGGCTAGGGATGTAGCTAAGTGGTAAAGTGCTTGCCTCCCAAGCATGGGTGTCCCTAAGTTCAATAACCAGCACTACAAAAATGTATTGAAAAAAAATCTTCATGGTGTGGAATTTTCCACTTGTAATAATCACGTTAGCACTTAAAAGTTTTACATTTTGGAGCATTTCAGATTTTGGATAAGGGATGCCCAACCAACATAAACTTAAGACAATTTTATTAGGTGCAGAGTTTCTAATTATTTTATCTTGTATATGCATATAAACTATCAAAATATTTTTTCCTAATATATGGTACTATTAATATTTTATCTCTTTCCAGAAAATTACTTGTGCATATAATTTGAAGGTAGTTTTAAAAATACCATTCCTTTTAATATTTATTACAGACATTTTTCAGGAAAGTCCTTAAGTCTAGCTACATATAGTAACATTAAATAACTTAAAAAAATAAACAATACATTATATTTTACCAAAACAGTCATATTTTAAAGCCATATAAGTGAAAAAGTTGAGTTTTTAAGAATAGACCTTCTAAAGGTATTTTTTCATTAGGGAAAAGTATTTTAAATTAATAGTAAATGTTCTTTATTTCCTGACTATATCAAATATATGCACACTGCTCTTGGTAATTTGTGCCAGAAGTATTTTTACGATTGTTTCCTGTGTCTGTTTTTTTTTTAAAGTGGAAAATTTATTCTAAATCTAAATAAATTTGTTCCCAAAAGATTTCCCCAAGGAGACAATGTTACCAAACAATAACAAAAGTTTAATAACGTATATATAATCAGTGCATGCAGCCTCCTATTTTCTAATAGTAGTAATAGAAAGTAACCTTCAAGTATCATTTTCATTGAAATGGACTTAAAGATGCTATCTCATAAAATTAACACGCTAGAGAAAGCATATCCTCGAGGAACCTGTCTTGCTAGAAAGCCATTGCTGAAATCCCCACAGGAAACAAAACCATCTACCAAGAACGGAGGGCACTTGGCCCCCAGCACGGAGCTAAAAGTACACACTTCTAACACTGCTCTGAATCCAATCGGCTCTAATAACTTTAAGAGCTCCCGTTTCTCAACTCATCGCAGGTCGTTCCATCATCCACATCTGGAAAGACATCTTCTGAAAAGAATGTCTTGAGGAGGCAGAACCCAAAGCGATTTCCAACCCTGCTCCTGCGTTTTGCAGCTGTGGATCATAGTAGTAGTTGGCTAGAAAACAAAGAACAGAAAGCATGGCCCACTTTGGAAACTAAATTCAGATCTTTCTGCACTTACTCAGATTCGCTTTTGAAAATTAGATTATCATAAAGTCTACAGAGAATAGAGAATTCAAGAATCACAAGAACCAAAGGAGGGGGATTCAGCAACTAAAAGTTCACGTCTTTGCAAAGCAGATGCAGGAGGTCAGGAGGGGTTCGAGCCTTTGGAAGGTTTTATTCCTTTACAGGTTTTGATCCAGCCACTTGATGTAACTATTCCTCGTCCGCATTCCCACTGAGAAGTTGGTGGGCCAGCTGGTGAAAATCATGCACCCATGGAAGCCATCCTCGAAGTGATCGAGGGTCACCTCCACATCTGCGCTCTCCAAACGCTTGGCATACATGATCCCGTCGTCTCTCAGGACGTCGTGCTCACAGGTCAGAATGTAGGTCTTCGGGAGGTGCTGCAGCACCTCCTGGTCTGCGATGAGTGGGGAGGAGCGGGCGTCCAGCAGCTGGGGGATCTCCCGCACAATCCTGGCATTGCCCGTGGTCTGCACAACAGGTTTGTAGTTCTTTGTGATGGACGCAGGCAACAGGGAGGTCCAGTTTAGACGGGCCCTGAGGGAAGCAGCCTCTTCTACCTCCAAGGAAGTGTGATTGTTAATGATCATTGCTTGCACAAAGTCATAGCTGCCTTTGAAGTAGTCCACCCAGTACTTTACCATGACATAGCGGGGCAGGATCGGGGTGTTCACATTTTGCTGATAAGAGGGTGTATTAAAATCTAATGCCTGGAGGACTGGATATATTAATGCTTGCAGTTTGAGCTTGTTCCTTAGGTTGGCATCTTGACTGAACTGAAAAAGAAACACATCATTTTGTTTTGTGCGATTCCTTTTACAGAAAAGACACCCTATGGAGTAGCTTCATGTATTGCTTCGAGTCAGTGAAAGGAATACATTTTACATTTCTACCAGGCACGGCATCAAGTGATATAGTTTAAAAACAAACAGTGCTCCACCACTACCACCCTATCAAGCTCCTGGGTATTTATTAAGAAACCCATGCTGTTTGTAATTCATAGCTTTGAGTGAACCCGTAGTACATGACCCCTGAGATTTTAACACTATTTGTATCTACCCTTTGGCACTTAGCACACAACTTGGTAGACATTATGGGTGAATAATCTATGAACCTCATTTAATTTTATTCTGTATAAAGCCCCAGAAGGCAAAGGCTTCCTAAGGAGAAGAAAATGAGGCTTGCTCTTCCGGAAGAGAAGGGTAGTATAGCTGAATGAACAGATGACAAGACTAAATGATGAGCATTTAGTCTCCATGCTTGGTGAGAGCGTGACAATTTAAATAATGCTGGGAATGCACCTCCATTCTACTTAATAAGCACGTTCCTCAGAATAAAGCCAAAATGGAAATGGAATCACCTCTTCTCACCTGCAATTCTTGCTGGTATGATTAAATCATGGCATTTCTGTAATTCTATGGTCCAAAATTATATATTTGTCATTTAACATCCTAAAGGAACCTAGCTAGGTCATTATGTTTTCATAAGCAGCTAAATGATATTTAGGCTAACTTCAACCACGCTGTTTTGCTTCAAACCTGGATTTTCAAACCTTTTCCCCAGGTAAGATGTAACTGCTCCTATACAAGCAAAAGGAAACACTCAGGCATATGTTCATGCAACAGCACTGCAGCCAGGCACACTGCAATCATTTTCCGGAGGCTCCGAGGGTCAGGGGACTCACCCGAGCGCATACTCTGCAAGGTGGGACCTGCATTAGACCCCAGGTCCGACTGGCTCTAAAGCCTATGTTTACACACGAAAGTAGCAAATGTGAACATGTCTAGTTCAAGTTCTTTATTATTAACTGAAGTATGTTACAAATAAAATGGAAGATGCTGTTTAAACACATCAGAAGAAATGTAGATGTGAGAAAGCAGAAATGCTAGTTTAAGTTATTTAATCTACAAGAAGAAAATGTGCTTATCTTCAAGTTTGCACAGCTGCCAAAGCATCAGGTCTTATTAGTCAGACACAGCATTCACAGAGATTAGCCAGGTAAAACTTAAATCAACATGTGTAATTTGACATCTAAAAAAACCTGAAAATTGGTGTTTTTCCTTTTTATACATAAGGAGACATAATAAACTTTACATTACAACTTTGAGAAACAATAATTTTTCTCTAAGTTCTAAGAAGACAATCACAGAAAACAGAATACAAGCAAAAACACCACATTTTGCAAAGCAAACTTGGAAGAGAAGTAAGTGGTGCTAATTTTCATGGCTCTCCCTAAGAAGCCAGGAGTCCTCTAGGATGTCAGACAGCCTCTAACATGGGTTGTAATCAGGAACTCTAGACCTTTGGATGGGGTTCTTCCTTCCGTGAACCATCTTCTTTCTGGGCAGGGTGTTCTATGTGTGTAACCCCAGCCTCTCAGAAGGCTGAGGCAGGATCCCAAATTGGAGGCCAGCTTTTTCAATTTAGTGAGACCCTGGTCTAAATAAAATAACTTCTCTGTGTAGCTAGTAGCTGGCAAAATGTGTTTGCCCCACCTAACAGACCACGAGTTAATCTGCTGGGTGGAACCACACACTCTCAGCACCCAGCGATGCAGGGCAGCAGTGTTACCTCTTGTCCAAGGGCAGCAGCCAAATTTCCACCAGCACTGTCACCAGAAATGCCAATTCTGCCAGGGTCCACTTTGTACTTCTCCAAAACCTCCGGGTGCAGGAAATACTTCGTGGCACGAACCACATCGTGAATTTGCTCAGGAAAATAGACCCGTGGGACCAGCCTATATCTTTGAAGACAAAAATGGTATTCATTGAGGGGCATCATCAAGTTTTCATAGGCTATTTAAGGTTTAAAGACAAAGACTAATTTACTTGAAGTTAGAGATACGCAGTTAGTTTAAAAATTTTGCAACAATTTTGTGTTAGCAAAAGTCCTGTTTTCAGGATAAGCCACCAAACAAAGCTCAATACACTCACCACTGCCAACAACTCAAAAAGAAAACTTTAAAAGGCAGGTGTTAGCTGGGTGTGGTGGGACAGGCCTGTTACCTTGGCTCTTCTGGAAGCCAAGGCAGGAAGATCTGGAGTTTGAGGCTAGCCTGGGCTGTTAAGATCATCATCTCAAAACAAAAACAAAGGCTGGAAATGTCAGTCACTGCTATAGAACTTGCCTAGTGTGTACAAGGTCCTAAATTCAGTCCCCAGTACTGCCAAAAAGTAAAAACATAAATAGGCAGGTGTTGATGATTACATTATAGCTAACATAATAACAGATTTTGACATTCTGCTCACAGTGCCTCTGGGTTAGGTGAGCAACCATTTGACTGACCTCACACTGAATAAGTCTGTATGTCCCTCTTTGTAATTGATTTGATAAAATAATATTGTACTCTGATGAAGAGGTTGATGAAAATGGTGAAGGATCTTTCCTCACATTGATAAGTCACTGATGATAAACCCACTGCCTACATCATATTAAGTGGGAAAACTGGAACTGCTTCCTCTAAAATCAGAAGCAAGGCAAAGGTATCCGTACCATCACTCCTGATCAATACAGTGCTCAACACTTTAGCCAGAGCAATCAGGCAGGAGAGAAACACAAGAGACGTAGAGGAAGGAGCTGAATTATCTTTAATCACAGATGACACCATCTTTTACCTAGAAGTTGCAAAGAGCTCCCCACTGTAGGCTGAGTTGAAACACAAGCGACGCACACTCATGGGAAAGCAAATTAACAGGCCGACTCTGGCCTTCCAAAGGACAGCTAAGCTGGCCACACAGCCTAGGACGGGCCCTCTAGGATGTTTCTAGCACTGGAGTTCTTTGTGGTCCTGTCTCATAGAATGTGTAGAAATCCTGGTTTTGTCGAATGCCCCACTAATACTATTTCTGTACCTGTCTTGGTGGTGGTAGCTGGGGCACGCTCTCAGCCACCCCCCTTTCCTCTGACTGTCAGTCTTCTTCAAGCCTGCAGGAGAGGGTGCGGCTGACTCTGCTTCTGAGGTTGAGCCGCTATGCTAGCAACGCCTTCATATTCCTGTGTGCTCGGGTACATCACCACTCTTACTGTCCCTGTTAAAAACTGGTCTGGTTCCTTAGAAGGCCATGTTCTCTGATTCCCGGGACCCTTTTATGGATCATTGTATTTTCAGTATCTACAAATGATCTAGGCCTGTGGCCAATCTATTCAATAAACGTTTTAAATTTTTTTTTCATATTAACATAACTTTAGTTTGCAAATGAAGAAACTAAGGTACTAAAAAGTTATTTGACCTGTAAAATAAGTTAAAAAAAAAAAGGTTGAAGAGAAAATATCTAATTAAAATTTAAAATCTCATTTCAGACTCAGGTTGTTTGATTTCCATCTTAAAAATAGCATGGTTATTTTCACAAACTAATTTTTAAAGCTACTCTATAAAAGGACATTTATTTTATTTTATTTATTTTTTTGTCTTTTTCATTTTTATCGGTATCGGGGATCAAACTCACGACTGCCTGCTTATGCCACTGAGCTAAATCCCCAGCCCCTAGGCCATTTAGTTTTTCCACTTAAAATCTTGCTTTCTAGGGCCAGGATTTAGCTCAGTGGCATAAGCACCTGCCTGGCAAGCATGAGGTCATGAGTTTGATCCCCAGTACAAATCAATCAATCAATCAATCTTGCTCTTTTAAACATTTTGACATTCAGTGCAAATACAAATAGAAAAATACTTACGAAATTATTACATTTTGAAATGAAATGAAGAAATTGGTTTAGTGGTTGCCAAAAGTCAGATAAAAAAGTTATTTTTTAAATCTGTAGTGACCAATGAATTAACCAAAATTTTCCCCTGGCATTTGATTTTTACACGATGGGCAGAGAAAGTATGATTGCACCATTTTTCCACTAGATGGCGACATCACACAAGCGTAGTTCTGATCACTTGTAGGTAACTTCAGTATCACCAAATTGAATTCTTTATTTTTAGATAAACAAGTGAACTTCATGACATGTTGTGAAAATAGACTTTTATTTCATTAATATCCTTTATATCACGATAAGCGATTTTCTGGTCGCCCAGTGGTCAGAACACATTTCTACCAGGAGGCATACATGAATTAAATAACATTTTAAAGTGCTGTTTCAAAAAAGATTTCAGTACCATTAGATAAAGGAAAATCAGTAATCTAAAAGAGCACACTAATGGATTCCCGCACCGTGATAACATACCTGTTATCCCAGCTACTGAGGAGGACAGCAAGCTCAGGAGGAACAAGACTTGTCTCAGTTTTAAAACATAAAAAAGGCTTAGGGTCTAGGTCTCCCTGATTTCTCTGCTAAGCAAATGAATGAACGAATGGCATGCTACCGATTAATCCTGTCAACTGACTCAGACTGCAGAGCAAACATACTTAAAAACAGACTGTGATTTAAGACTCTCCCTTGCACCCCTGAACATCCATATTCTAAATTGGAAATGCTTGTTGACTCAGTAAAAAAGGACATTAGTTTTGCAGACTGGAGAATACACTGAAATTAGATGTTTCTTAGGTCATCACGTGTAATAGGAAGCTTCAAAGTAGCTAAAATGCACCTGAGATAACAAAATTTCACAGCATATTCACAGCCAAAGAAATCATACACAAATACTATTTGCTATCTGTGGCTTGTGTTCAAAGTGATGTCCCATGGAAAGCACTGAAACAGAATTCTTTTTTGTTTAGTTTTGAAAACTGTAATCTTGGAGTGAAGCAGTGGACGCAGGTATAAACATCTGTGTGTCCGTCTCAATTTGCCAACTCACTGCCAGGAGGCCACTCCTCAGCGTGGGCGTCTTTATCACTGCACACACCTCTTACCAGATGAGCAAAATTCCACACACACGCAGGCCTGAGCTTCAATCAGTTGAGTAAACATGTACACTCCGAAAAGCTCATGCCAGTCCTCCTACGTGAGACACCTGGCCAAGGGTTCTACGTATGTGCTCCACTCAGCTCTGAGTAAACCTGCAGGGAACACAGCTCAGCGGGGAGGGGCACATTCGTGCTCTGTCTACAAAAGCTGGAGTTTATTTTGAGGCAGGATCTGGCTAAGCCGCCCAGGCTGGGGCCTTACTTTACAGCTGACTTCCTAATCAGTGCTCTCTCCCTTAAATATATTTTCAGTCTCCAAAACCCACCACCTTTCAAAGCTATATAAATAAAAGCACTAAAATCTCAAAACTGTGAGCGCCTGACAGCTCAGAACACTTCTCGCAATTTCAATGAGTTTGCAAAATTCTCAAAATAAAACACCTGACAACATACTTGTCCTCCTCCCAAAGAAAAGTTTAAAGGCATACTTTATACCTTTTGCATATAAGATGTACAGCATATGGCACTACCTGTGGTGGGGAAAGAAATAAGCCATGTGGCTTTATAGAAAATTTTAAAAAGAGCCAGGTGTGACGGTGCATCACAGGTTTGAGCCTGGCCAACTCAATGGCTTAGTAAGAATCTGTCTCAAAATAAAAATTTTAAAAAAGGGCTTGTAAGGCCCTGGGTTCCAGTTCCAGTTTAAAAAAAATTAAAAAGGAAATTGTTCCTAAGCCCTATTGTGGCTGTATCCTTGGACTCCACCTCTGGATACCACACTCTGGGGTTCTCAGTTCAGAATGCTTTCACCTACTTGTACCATCTTGCAGCTAGCTTGCTTCCTTTCCCTTCTCCTCCTTCCTCTTCTATCTCTTTCCTTGTTTTTATTTTCAGCACTAAAGATTGAGCTCTATCACAAGGTACAGTCCTGATTCCTTTACTTTTTAATTTTGAGACAGGGTCTAGCTAGGCTGCACAGGCTAACCTTGAATTCGCAGTCCTCCTGCCTCCACCTCCCAAGTAGCTGCGATTACAGAGGTGCACCATATCTGGTTACTTGGCAGATTTTCAAAAGCACCAAGGTCTAAGCCCTGCTTCAAAATATGCCGATTCAATTAGTTGGTGAGGGTCATAAAATCACCAAAATGATTCTAATGTGCAGCCGGGGTTAGAAATACCAGATTCCAGTCAAATTCTCATTCTTTGCTGAACATATCTCCCCCATTCCTATTCCTAATACACTGGTCCCTCCCTCCATCCCCTGGGCCTCTTCTCAATCACTCCCTCATGAAGAGTCCCCATCCTCTAAGTTGCATTTTAATTAAATGCAACATTTTCCATTAAGCTTTCCTGATTCCCAGCCAAAAGTAACTCTTCTTTCCTGGAGCTTTCAAAATCTAACCATACATTATAACACATACACCTCACCCGTCTCCAAGTAGAAGGGGAGTCATAATTAAACACTGAAGAGTTACGATGTTAACCTACTTAAAAGGATCGGCACCGTTTCCATGATGTAATATTTACTTTATGACCTCCTGGACCAGCAGTGTCCAGAGACAGGGTGCTATGCTCAGAAAGACTGACCATTTGATCTTTATGGCAAAGGCCGCTGCTGTGTACAAGCCCAGGGTTGAGTTGCTTTAGGCACATTGGACGTGGAAGCCCAGGAGGACGCCAGGACTCTAAGACAGCTGAATGAGATTTTCTCTCAAAATGACTTCACTTGCAAAGTATGTGTACCACTTTCTATGGGAGGAAGGGCAGAGTCCACTTCACCTCGTGCCAGGTAGGTAAAAGGTGTGACAGTCTGGCCTGAAGTGACATTCCTAACAGATTCTATGAGGGACAGGGAAGTCCTAGTGTTTCTTGGCTTTTTCCTCCTTTTCACCACCTCTCAAGAACAGCTTAATTGACTCACCTTGAAAACATATAACACAGTTTCTGTTCCTGC